TCCACCAGCGAATCTCGTGTCAAGTCCACGGCCGACCCGCCGCGAAACGGGATGGTGCACCCCTCACGAAAGCCCAGTGCCAGCGAGCCTTGCCCACATTATTACTCACCTAGACAAAATCTCATGGGTTATAAATCAATTCGCCGGAGGGCGCACGATGAACTTGAATTGGTCTCCATCATCTGCGAGGCCGACTAGTCGGGTGACCACGGACCATCGCCCCGCCCATGTCAGCCGATTCTGCTGTAGCTGAAGTGACTGCAAGGTGTGCAGAACTCCTGACTCTTTGCACCTGCTCAACAAGCGGATCAGCTTCGAAACCTGATCTTTGTTCTTCACGACTGAGTCGTCGTGAGCGTAGACGAGGCCATGACTCCGCTCTCGCTCTGCAAAGGCCTCGTAAACCTGGAGGTAGCCGTGGTCCTGCCCTGCTGCCTTGAGAATACACTGCAACCTCAGTCAGAACTTAAGCCGCGACCCCATCCGCACAGATGCACACATGCACAGACATCGGACCGAGGGGCTGCGTCAGCCTCTCAGCCAGTCTCAGGGATAGATGATTCCCCTCCTTGGAAGGCTTGCAAATCTACAACGGCACGTGGTGGTGAACTGACATATTGAACCCAAGGCTCTTCAGCACAAATTTGAATTACCCGTTCCCCGTGAGCATGCAGCTCCCAGAACGCAGCCAGGCCGTCTTGAGGGCAGCGAACCATCATCGCCGGAACAGCCTTGGATAGCTGCATTAAATCCCAGTGTCGTCTACCTACACATTCAAAGAGCTTACTGCAAGACCAGCAACGAGTGCTCGCTTTCGAAAAGCTTCGCATGTGTCCTTGTCGTGGGCTTTGTCTGCCCAATCAAGAATAAATGCGAAAAGCTGAGCCAATCGAGTTGTCGGTCGGATGGTTCCCCTGAAGGTCCAGGGGGCAAGCCAAACGCGGGCATAAACACACCAATACCGGAACAAACCTGCAGACATGACACACAGACAAATCAACACCCGGAGACAAAGAGAGAGAAGCGCTCACAGACACACACACAGAGACACACAGGTAGGAACACCCACCCCCTCACACTCACACACCGACATCATAAACCGACAGACAGACACACACACACACACACACACACACACACACACACACACACCTGCCCGCACACCCACCCACCCGCCCACCCACCCACCCACCCACCCACACACCCACCCACACACACACACACACACACACAGGCATCACGCACGTGCGCATGCACGCACACATGCAGGCACGCACACAGACACACAGACATATCACACACATACAGACACACACACACACACATGCTCACAGACGCGCACACAGAATGACACAGACACACACACACACACACACACACCCACTGAGAAACACACATGCGCACATGCACGCATACTCGTGTGCGCACCAGCACACACACACACACAAAACACGCACGCTGTCCCTGCCTTGTGGAAGAATCGTCGAAATGGCAGGTGATGTGCGGCAAGGCTGCCGGCAGGCCACTGCTGTACCAGAAGCGCCGCGCTGACAACACATCCGCGAAACTCACGGTTTGGCCCGATAGACCCAAATCTCCAAAGTTCAGGTCTGCTATCGTCAAGTAGCAGTGGCTCACATCATCCTTACCGGTCCAATCAGCAGCAAGGGGCTGAATGCCGTCAACGGCGATCGCCACTTCATCACCCTTAGGCCACACACCCTGAAGTTGCAAGCACTCGATGGCTTCAGTAAGCTTCTCAGAAATTGATCCGTCGCCATCAGCCCCGGCAGGGGCAGGGTCGGGCTTCGGCACTGCCGCCGGTGCCTTCGCCGATGATTTTCTGCTACGAGCCATTTCTTCCAACTCCGTTTCCACGACTGATCAAATGGCTGCCCGAACAGACATTGTTGTAGGGCAAGGGGGGGTGCCCGACCCCCCCGGTGCGCGACGCACTTCCCCGGGAAGCATGTAGGGCTAGGGGGTATCGACTCAATCAGCGGCACCAGAACGATCTGTCTTGGCATCAGAACATTCATCAACCCCCTGCTTGTGCGACGCACTTCCCCGGGAAGTGTGTAGGGCTAGCAGGAGTGTACCCATCCCCCCCATGCCCTACGGAAAAGCCAAGCGTGCCAGGCATAACTTTTGTGGCGGCTGCAGCCGCTGGCCTCGGTAACTCTCTGCTTTCGGACTACAGCGTTGCAGTGTCAGGGAATGGTCACATGCACCTCCGACTCTTTCTGATTCCAGTTCCTCTCAAGATTCGCCCACTCACCCGTTTTCTCTCGAGAAACCGAGCGAACAATGCAATGCGGCAATGACCCGGCCTCAACGCCTGTAGCCTGCATGCTTTAGACTCGAGGAACAATTTAAAATAGGAAACGACACCCAGACCGTCAACTTTTTCAATCCAGGCTCGGAACATGGAATGACATTGTCATTGCAACCCAAGTCTGAGAAGCTAACGACCAAAGGACACGCCCGGCAGCATCAGCTCATCCTGCGAGATAGCACAATCAGTACTACGCCGACAATACCCACACACTCTCGCTTGCCGTGAATCCCGTTGCAGATGCAAGCACCGCAAACCGTGAAGCTTGTCGCATGCCCAGTAACGGAGACGCAAAGCTGCCACCCAGAATCCAGCATATCGCCTGTCAATACCTCCCCAACCCCCGCCCCCCCTCCCCCCGCCCAGTCTACATCACTTCATCCTGCCTCAGAAGATGACACATGGAGGCGATAGCCGACCTGCGGCAGCAAGGTCTCAGTGAATGTCATTCTCATTACGACAACATCCGGTCGTGCTGCAACAGCAAAGTCAAGGGATGATACACGCCGTGGCTTCAATGCAAGAACTCTGCGAATGGCAAGCCCCAGTCTGATCAGAAGGCATGTCCAATATTGCGATGTCCGCAAACCTCAACATCCGTAGGACATGAGAGCAGAAGTTCATTTTTGAGTCGCCCCCCACACGGATGCCCCATTTCTGTTTGCAAACCGTCGCTTGCAACACAGAGCCCGCAGCACATCGCATCACGCAATCTTGCACCTGGTGTACTTCATAGCACAGAATTGAATCAAAGGCTCGCATCAATGATGCCAAATGCAGTCCGAGCCCTGTGTTGCCTATGTGCTCCCCACCCACTCTGTACAGCAGGATAAAAAGTCCAGTGGGTTCAAGACCCTACCCGGTCGGGCGCTTTGCATCCGCTGCTTTCTCACTTTGTCCACAGATGAAGCATCCGTGAGCACATATCCCAGCTTGTTGCGCACGTCTTTACACTTTCTGCGTAACACCCAAGCTTTGTCGCCAGCTGAGGTTTCCACGGCACGGAGCATGCGGACTACGCAAGCAGACACTGCGAGGTCTTCGGCGGACTTGTGCAAACCGAGCCTGGGTGGGACGGTCCTCGCCCTATCCACACTAGCAAAAACACGACGCCGACTGCACCACCCAATCCTACAGAAAATCGCTTAACTCGACGAGGCTCTCCGTCTTGGTGTCCAAAGCCCTTGCAAGCTGCAAGCTGGGAGCTACCACCTGTTCCCCGGCCAAGCAAGCCGCTTTCCACTCGATCGTGCCAATGGAACCTCCGAAAAGCCGCGAAGCCATCTGGAACGCAGTCACTGCCACCATTTTCTTGGATGGGAAGACAAAACTCATGTCGTCTTCCGTGTACCATACAATGTCCTTCGACGCCACAGGAAGGAGTTGCTGATATTGCTCAAGATCTCCAGTAAAGGGAACGCACTTGAGGCCTAGCCCCGGAAGTTCCTGGATGTCCGCACCAGGCTCATGCAGCAGCACCGCGCTTTGCAAGCGCAAAGGTGTTCGCAGGACACTGACTGCACCGGAGGCACGCATGCTGGCTATGGCCTCGTGCAGCTTGGTCTCTTTGCGCACGTGCTCTCGATACTTTTTATCGATAGCTCGGCCATCCAGCCTTGCTGTGACGAGCTTCTTTTTCTTCTCCGCCAAAGACTTCAAAGACTTCACAAGATGGTGGTACCCAGAGCCTTTTGAGGCCTCAGCTTGCTGCAAAGATAACTTCTCCAGATCTTCGGTGTCTGCAGTTTGCGCGGAGTCAATGGTCGATAGCTGATGCTTTCGCTTCCTGCCCAGCGAGGCTTTGGTTTCTTGCCCCATGCAGACTGGCAGGGACTTGTCCTTGTCTGTATTCTGAACTTTGCGACGTGGAAGATCCGTCGTGCGTGCAAGTCCAGCACCAAGAGTCTCCAACATTTGTTGCTGCACTGCTGCTGCATCTTCGGACATCTCATACGTGCACTGAGACATTGCTGTTTGCTGCACGCATACCACGAACCGAGGAGGCGGTAAGCCATCCAATCTGACTCGCATCATCGCCCTGGCCAGGCACCGAGACCCACAGACAGGATTTCCGTTCTGGATGGACAGTGCAATTTAGCAAACCTAGATGGAAGGACATGTCTGTCGCACTGTGGCCTGAGGTGCTTTTCGGACGTTGACTGTTTGCGGCCGCTATTCATCATCTGTAGCAAGCTGAAGTTTTGTTCCGCCTCCCCGCTGCTCGGGAAGCACGCTGTGTACACAGCAACCTCAACGCATTGGCAGAGTCATTGGCAACTGCAGCAGGAGAGATATACATGGAGTTTCCGCAAAGCAATGCTGGTCCCCCGCACTCGGTGTCTCAGGCTATGGCTGCACGGGCAAGAAGGGGCAAACGCTTCGCCCAATGCCGAGCTGTCTCTGACCAGGCTAGACGCAGATCCTGGACGCCGCGCCTCAATGGTACAGATATACGCGCTAGACGAAACTCTGACAAGTGCTATGCCCCCGTGAGTCCTCAATTCTATAGCTGCAAAACAAAACGCCTGGACAGGACATCTATGGTCGGGCGTGCGATGAGAAACTCGTCTGCCAGGTTCGTAGCCTGCTAGGAAAGACACTCCGCACCAGAGCCGTCTTATGTGTGAACCTGCCTCAATTCCGAGAGCCGTGGCCATGGGCTGCATCACCTTCGGCCTTTGCTGTGAACATGCGGCCCAAAACAAAGAATGGGCAACAGAAAACCCAGAAGCACATGACCTGGGCATCCGCGCAAGGTCTTGTCATCGCAACCAGCCTCCCGCCACCACGCCACATCAAAGGGGTGATAACTTTCTGCAATCCCCATCTGGTGATGGCACCGCACAGCTTCCACATAGTTTCGAATGATGTTGTTCACCTTCCCCAGCTGTGCGGCGATCGTCCTTCGAACGTCCTTGCTTTTCGCCCGGTAGAAAAGCATGGTCTTGCCGTGAACCACGGCCTCCGCCCATGTGAAACGCTGACAAGCATACTACATGCACATATTCATAAGGACGACCTGGCCTCGGTAACCATCAGGTTGTAACTGCTTTGCAACAACTGCATGAATCCCGCAGTGAACTGCGGACTTAAAGTCAGGGGCTCCTGTAGCTCGCCTCCCATGCTCCTGAAGGAGAACAAGCGGTTCAACTCCTCACTCAAAGCACGAAAATGCTGAGCTGAGCGAGCCAGACAACTTGGATGGCTTCCACGGCTGCTTTCGAAGCTATGGTGGTAGCTCGAGACGGTGCGAGACAGCTCGGCCAGCAAGGCCAGCAACACCAGGTTCTCTTCTGTCAAGAGGTTCAAGATACCCCTGGCCCAGGATTTCAAGGAGCTGTCCCGTAATTGAATCTCTGTCAAGCTCATGATCATCCCTCGGATATTCAATGTCAGAGTCGAGGTGACTGACATGATTGTGTCGAACCTCTGGGGAGCAAACCTCAGCTCCCCAGCCGCTTTCAGCACTGTGTCGACATTCTCTGCGCTGGTGCGGAACATATGACTCAAGCGTGTTGAGTTCTTGCATGCGCGAGCGAAACTTCCCAAGTTGCGGCCGTCGTTGCCGGAGTACGAAGTGATCAATGCCTCGATAAGCCTCTTGGCAGATTCGTCTCCGAAAATGGCAGCTTCCAAACTTCTCTGTCCAGAGTGCAAAGCACAACGGGCCGTCCAGCGAACGCCGCAACCTGAGACTTTTTCAAAGAACTGTCCCGCCAGTTGCTCGGCAGGCTCGCCATCTGCAGTGCACACCTTCGGACACGCGCGACGGACAACAGCCCAATGCCAAGTTAACACTGCATGCACTCACTTTGCAGCCACGCGGCAAAATCAGCATCTTTGATCTTTTGCAGTACACTATTGTTTCCCGCACTGAGTTTGCAAAACGAAGACCAAAGCTCGCGTGCTTTGTGAAGTGAATCCTGCTCACTGACATGTGGTCAAGAACAAACTAGGACAGTATTATGCCCATGCTGCACGTGTGACAAGTCCTTTCGTCCATCAATGCTCCGCAGATCTAGCATAAAGTGGTGGATCTCGAAGCTTTCGGTGACCAAGCGGCACTTCACCACCTCATACTCCTTCCGCACATCCTGTCACCAGGGACACGCGGGCATGACCGGCGGAGTGGACCCTTCAGACTTCAGACGACACATCCCCTCAAACAAGGATGTCCTCGGTCACTGCAATCGCCCTGATGCTCGTTGTCTTAAGCAGGCGCTGAAGTTTGCAGTCCAACACGTCAGAGTAAGCCTGGATGATGTGCCAGTAGCTGTCCTTGGATGAATGGCGGAGCGGGAACTGCTCCGGCCGCAACCTGCCCGAAGGAAAATTTTCATTTGCACACGCACATGTCTCTGCGCCGGGCCTTCGCGACTCCAGGCAGCGACGCTGGTATTCGGTACATTGCGCCGCATGAGGGCAATGAAGGACGTCCAGCGCCAGCCTCAGCTGGCCTGCTGTGCAGCCAAAGGCCTTTTCTTTAACGTTGTCGGGCAGAAAAGCGGAAGGCTGCTTCACGTCACCCAGCGCAAATTGCACGGCCTTCAAATGAAAACGACAGGCCTGGCGGCATTTTCTGGAAATACCACCATGACGTTTCACGTCTTCTAGCTGTAGGACACCAATCTTGCCACCGGGCCTGGGTAATGTTGACAGGCAGTACAACTGCAATAACCTAACGGTCGACGGTCGACGCCCAATTCACAGCCCAGAAGCACAGCTGGAGATCCCTTTGTGCCACTTATCCATGGAGTCACTTTACCTCATGTCTCATTCACTTTTAAACTGGGCTGCGATGTGTGTCGCTCATGACCCATGTGACCTGAGGCTTGCTGCAGACGGAGGCGCAAACCTCCTCGGGGTACGCCTTCGCATAAGCCATACACAAGGAGCATCCGAGCCCCGATGGAGTTCGAACGAGGTAGGACTGGTAGCATCCTGCGACGTAGCACTTAACTTGACGAACTCTGCGGGATGGGTGCATCTTGCTTTGCAAAAAAAAGATTGTTCTGCAGCACAGGTCCATCTGCCGCCAGGTACACGCATTTTGGAGCCCAGCGGTGCGCAAGGCAATCCAGGCATTTGCACTTTTTGGGACAGGTCATGGCACGCTCCGCGAGATGCCGTCTTCTATGTAAAAAGATGCACATTGTTGATACTTACGCCTACACAGGTATGGCCCAATTGGTCTGCAACCTACAGAACCCGGCAGCAACCCCGACACCAGTCGCATAAGGCACGACAGTTCTATGATATTGTCCTGCTCTGGCCCTCCGTCAAAAACACGTCACCAACCATGATTGTCTTCGTATAGGGACTCTTTGTGACAATGAAGCCTGGATGACACAACCCTTCTGCCTATTATAAAGCCTACTACAGCCCTTGTTGCGGGCTGCGACACACTGTTGCAGATGCCGCGCTGACATGGCCGAAGAACGTCAGTGTCATGTTTGTTGCTTCCAAAGCACTCTGCAGCTCAATCCAACTTGCGCCCAAACTTTCAAACTCAGCATTCAGTCGTCTCCTGCCTGCCATCGCCTGATACTGGAGCTCCGCCAGCCTGATTTAGGGTTCATGTGCGACCACGAGAATCAAGAACCAGGCTTGGGAGAACACCTATTGCACCCGTGCCCGTCCACGGGCAATCGCCATCAACCATGCTACTGCAGCATCTCACGAAGACTGCCTACGTAAGAACGTCTCGGCAATCACCACCACCCGGCCGCGGAAACACGAGGTACTGTGAATAAGTGCATGATGTTGTTGGAGAATCGGGTGCTCACCTGTTGCGCTGCATTGTTTCATAGGTTCTAGTCAAGTCATGGTGGTCAAAGGGGCCAACAGGACTGCTTGCACGACATTGCCCCTGATACTTCCCACCCGTACGTGCAACCCTTGTTCAGGGCTGTGGCTTGGCCCTTAGGCGTATGCCCTTTGTCGGACACGCTCAACCACTTGCGCAAGAACATGTCTGTCTTGACAATCACGAGGCCTGAAGAAGTTCGGCGGTGCCGACCACTCACTCCGCGAGCCTCGAGCGAGGAATAAAGGAATTCTGGACACAGGTTCCCACCGACTCAAGACCGGGGCAAGGAAGTGTTGCACGTGTGATAAGTTCTTCGGGCTTTTAATTTATGTCAAGGAGTCAAGAATGAATCCTGAGTAGCACTTTCAATCGTCCAGCTGCCCTCCCCATAAGACCCAAACCCCTCACCCTATTGATACGGCAGCATAGCAGCGATGCTACTTGTTCCCGAAAGGTCTAGGAAGCCCCAAAAGCGTACTCGGATCGCACGCCGGGCCCCTGACAATTGGCAGCTGGCAAAAGTGACCTGCAAAAGCAGGCAAGATGACCATGCAATAGCAATGCACAAACGGAATTGGAGACGAGGTCTGTGTGACTGCTGCATGGCCCTCCAAAGGAAAAGAAACGCTTTAAGCGTGATGCGCAGGCATGGAGCCCAATTAACACATATAATCTAGGCGTTTGCCTTAAATTTTTAGGTTTCTTGCATCAAATTTGCCTCAATTTTTTTATATTTTGCATCAAATTTTTTTGATTCCTTTCATCGCTATGGATTTGCAGTAAATATACATATTCAACCCGATAATATTTTTGCATTTGTTTTAGCATACCAAGCATACTCTGTAAATATCGTACACACTAAAACAATGGTTTCTGGTGAAGCGATGGAAGAGTGGAGAAAAATTCGAGGAGGCAAGAACAAAAACTTGAGGCAATTTTGAGGCAACTATACCAAAAATTTGAGGCAAAAGCCACAGCAACAGCGATTATTTGTTGTACCTGCAAACCCACATAGCTGCTGAAGGCTCGGTTTCCAAAAAACAGAACATAATCTAATCTGTCACTTCACCCAAGTGCTTCTCAGATGACACTGCGCTGTTGCGTTTAAGCGTAATAAATGGTAGACACAATGGTTCCTGGTGAAGCGATGGAAGAGTGGAGAAAAATTCGAGGAGGCAAGAACAAAAACTTGAGGCAATTTTGAGGCAACTATACCAAAAATTTGAGGCAAAAGCCACAGCAACACAGTGGTTTCTTGCTACTAGTACGGGTACTGGCTTGTAGTCTACAATCCCTACAAGTCCAAATTACTCGGTTTCCAAAACAGGACATCATTCAATCGCACATTTCCCCCAAGCATTTCTCACATGACGCTGCAGTGTTGACTACAATGTTACTCAACAGAGCCCACATATCGAAACTACATATTGGCCTACGGCCTACGCCTGTAATCCTTGCGGCCCGGATACGGAACACCCAAATCCTCCGAAACCCAAAACCTCGACCCCAAGTGCTCAAGGCCCAGACTGCTCGTATGGTCTGCCATCGCAATCCCGGCCACCGCCCTGTGCAGCTCCGTTCTCTTTGAGGAATGTCGGGTGATCGGGGATGAGGACGGGGAGGATCTAGGCTTCGGGTAGGTAATAAAAACTTGTCACGCAGAAGAAGACCGAAGCTTGGGTGAGGGGTTCAGAGGGTGTTCAAGCTTTCGCGGTTCTTAGCCCAGCCTGCAGGCTTGGACGGGCTGGGGCTGAAACCCAATCTGAACTTGACCCTAACCCCAACCCCCCAAACCCGCAATGCCACAACGGGAGAGCCGCCTCTGCGAATTTGATGATGACCGCCCGGCAGCGCATTTCTCAACGATCCTTTCCGGAACATCACATGAGCTTTCCCGTACTGGGGGTCACGTAGGCTACTGGATGAGAGCTTCCGGTCTTATGAATCCAGTGTATGCCAGGGTTAAGGGTTAGCTGGTGCCCTGCAAAGACGTTATCTTCTTTCAAAAACTTGATGTTTGCACGAGGCACAAGGAAAAGGATAAGGTTGTACCCATGTCATGCCGCAGCTAGAATATATTGTAAAATACTCAATCACTCAATCTTTATTGCCGAAGTGCGAAACAATCCATAAAACCCATACCGGTTTCATGATGCGCACGCGCGCCCCCCAGCGCCAGCAAAGGAAAAGAGGCAGCAACCAGGGCAGAAAAAGGGAGAAGGAATGAACCCACAGGGGGCGGCTTTGCTTAAAGCACCAGCCCCAGAAGCAAGAGAGCACAAAACAAGGCTTTCACAGTCGGTCTTACAGCTACAAGCTGGGGGGCTGGGGCCAGTTCAAGCCAACCCCGCCGCCCCGAAGGACCCGTGCTTCAGCTGGCATCCACTCGCATTCAGGACGTCATCTCTGCATGTTTCGGGTCACGTGCAGGACATGATTTTGTTTGGGATTCCTGCTTGGTGACGGAAGTCTTGCTTGAGAATGCTCCATGTTCGTAAAGTGTTGAACTGATCTTTCTAGTGGATGTCAGAACAGCTGTTTACCAATTCACCGATGCTGGTGAGTTGAGTGATTCTGCGTGGAGCTCCTGTCTAGGATTCAGATCAGTAAGCATTTATGTCACGAGCAGCTTGGGTGTCACCTTTTGGCAGCCTTTTGGGCAGCTTGTCTTAAGTTTTTGCTGGTGCTTTAAGCAAAGCCGCCTGGTCTTCATTCAGCCTGTTTTTTCTTGACTTCTGTTTGGCCTTTTACCGCGCAGCCTACATGACGGCTTATCACCTTATATGCCTCAATGGCTGATTCCTTATGTCTGAAGGGAGCACGAGCGAAGACATGAAGCACGGCACTGCAAACCACTTCGGTTCTAAAGGCTGCAACTTCTCAAATCCGCACGATGCATAGTTCAGATAAGACCGTGCCTCTGCGCAGAAGAAGCCAAAGCCAGACCTTGGAACAAACGGAGTTCCAGGGATGCACGCTCAACGCAGGCAAGGCTTTGGAAGGCACCGTGGTGGCTCCGGTCTTTTTCGCCACAGCATCGCCAGGAAGACGAGTGAAGCACGAGCCGCCTACAGTGTGCCACCAGTGCTTTGTGCATATGTCTTAAGCCTCAAGCCGCTAGCTGTATTGCGCCATTTTGCAGGAACCCCGATCACCAGTGGCTCACTTTTTCTTGGCCTTTTCGGCCTTTTCCTTAGCCCTATCCCTCTCATCTTTCACCCGCTGCAGCTCCTCCACCAGACTCTTGTTGGCCGTCTCGAGCCTGGGCTACTCAAAAGTCGCATATTAGAACCCCTATCAGATACTACTACTAACCAAAACAAAACTTGGTTTTATTTTGATTCAGAGGACGCGATCTTCTGATTTCGCAATTTCTCTCTCAGATCGTGCTCCGCCTGTCGATCGTTCCTGAGCCTGCCGTTCTCCTTGGTGGCATCCTGCAGGGTGATTTACGATATTGCATTTAGGCGCTTACACTCGGACAATCCAGGCGAGGGATATGGGTCCACGGACTGCGTTTAGGATTCGGGGAGGTCCTTGAAGAGTCGGTCCGAGGTATCGAGTCTGCCTTGGCTAGTGAATCCGAAAGGCATTTTAAAAAACTAAGGCGAGTCGAAGCTTTGGGTTTTTTCCCTCCTACCTAGCAAGGACGAAGCCCGCATTGCAGGAAACCCAAAGCTTAGGGTTTAAGGTTTTGTGCACAATGCCTTCTAAGAAAAGGCCAGGCACGCTGAAAGTCTGCCAGGACGGCTTTCTGCTCAGTCGTGACCTCACTCAGCCGAGTCGACAGCCGCTCGATCGCCACGCTGTGGGAATTCTGCAGGCTTGCCCTTTCATCTTGAAGGTCCTGTGTACTTAGTATTTTAGCGTTGTGTGTTAAGGGTCAGGGCTTAGGATTTGGCTAGGGGTTGAACCCGTCCGCCTATATAAATTCAATTTCTGCGATAAAGCAGAAGGCGCATATTTAATGTTTAGGGTTTCGGGCCTGGGGCTCCAAATAATTCAGTCCTTCAGCTTGCCCCGCAGCTCGGTCGACTCCGCTGTCGCAGTTCGCTCCGCCTGCCTTGCAGCATCCAGCGACTGCTGAGCTTCACTGAGATCTCGTCGGAGTCTTCCGTTCTCCTGCTGCAGCTGCTGAAGCATGCTTGCCCTTGTACCGGAAGTGGTGGACCTGCCAGAGTTTAGTGGAGGGATCAAAAGTGTAACCAAAGTCCGAACTTAAGGCTTCGAGTATTAAATCGAGCGTTTGGATTAGGGTTTCGGGTTTCGGGTTTCCAAAACCAACCGTCCTTCCATCTCCACTCCCAGGACTCCCAGCAGCTTTGGCAGCGGCAGCAGGTCGATAGTACGGACCCGGAAGCGGCCCAACCACAGGCGGGTGCCATGGCCCCCACCACATCGATCCTACTGCGACCCTGCTGCCGTAAGCATTGAAAATCAGAATCGCAGCCCGGCCCTATGAGCCCTGAAGGTGGCTGTTGCCTAAGCATTGAAAATCAGAATCACAGCCCGGCCCTATGAGCCCTGAAGGTGGCTGTTGCCTCAAAATGCGACCCCTCGACTTTGGGAGGCTAGCACACAAGACACCATGAGTGCAGTCTTGAAAGAAGCATTGCGGAACGGTGGTGATGTCATCTGGGGTTGGAGGAGGGTCTGTGGGCTTGAGGTGTTGGGGTTTTGGGCTTTTGGGATTTAGGGGCAAGGCTCGGCAATGCGTCGGGTAGGGAGGATCTACTCTGTTTGGTAAATCCGACGACTAACCAGATCTGAAACCCGAAACCAAATATTCCCAAACCGCAAGAACGCAGCCGGTTAGAATTTAAAAAATCTAAAACAGAAGCCGGCCTCGAAGATCCTTTCACCCCAAAGTCGTCATGTCGAATCAAGCCCTTCAAATCTGGACTCCACCGTACCCGCAAACCGGTTACTCTGAGATGCAGGCTCTATGCCGACGACGTCGAGGCCACGCCACGTCGCCACTGTCAGGCCTCAGCGATAGTTCTGCCCTCACTAGGCTTCATCAGTTTCAGGCATCTTGAGGAATCTACCTAATAGCCAGAAGCCCAATAATATATTTTCGAAGTGCGAATCCCCGAGGATATCCTGAACATCCCGCAAAATAACCCAAAGGAGATCCTATGTAGTACGATCCCGTCTCAAACCCTTGCTAACGAGAGCCAGTAAGGAGTCGAGGGAGAATTAGAGGCATAAGAAAACATATGCACGCCACCATGAAGCATACCACATATATTATATGCAACCATGTGAACTCAAGAACAGGCTTTTATGGTTCTAAGTTTAAGGCCTCCTACTCTTATTGGGTTTCAAGGGAAGATCAAGGGGCCAAACCACTCGCGGCGAAGAGGCTTGCCGCCTACCTACATAAACTACAGAGATTCTGCACTACTATAGTCAACAACATGGGTCGCAGCGAAGGGCCTGCCGCATATCGGTACAGTCCACATGCAGCATACGATTGTGCTTTACTTCAGAGTCTTAAAGCTAGCAGGGGCTTAAATCGTCAGGCCCGGGTCATGGCTGAGACTGCCGCACGCCCTGTCGCACCCAATGTCGTGACAGTCGGCCTCGGCGACCGGGGGGTCGATGGCGCCACACCTGCCCTCCAACTGAGCCCATCCCTACGGTAACACTAGGGTTGATGCGTGTTTGCCTGTAAAGCTCGCAGCTGACATATGATTTGGGAGTAATGGGCCCATCTAAAGTCCAGCCGTAGTATCACATGATTTTTGGCAGCAGCTCCTCTCCTGGAGAGCTTTCGCATGCAGGGCTGAGCGCTAAATTTGGCATTGTTGCTGCCAGATGTCCTATTCTACTATTACGATTACAGAAACCTGGAAATAAAATTACCGGACCCCCTGTATCATGCCACCAACCCTACTCAAGGCCGCGGAAGCCTAAACCCGAATGCTCGAAACCTTTATGCCGAAGCTTCGTAAGCAAATGCCACAAAGCATATGACCCGGTTTGCAAGTCCCCCCTTGTTATTAATACAGGCTTGATTGGAGCTCGCCCGGCCGGTATCCCCAAAGCACATCGCACTCTTGATCCCCCTTAAAACCTAAACCCTTTGAGTCGAACCCCACTATGATTTCCACAGGCACGGCAGTCCTCGGCTGGAGAGGGGGGAGGGGGGGAGGGGGGGAAGTCGGGATTGTTTTGGGCCTAAGTCTTATTGGGGCTTAAGGTCGCGGCGCAGGGGCATGCCGCCTAGCTACAATTATGCGGCGAAGGGCATGCCGCCTAGCTACAACAGGCTACCGACTAACCTAGACACGACACGACTAGAACGCGGCGAAGGGCATGCCGCCTAAGACCTAGATACGAGTGCCTGCGGCGAAGGGCCTGCCGCCTAGTCCAGTAGCTACATTGCTTGTCGATACCACTACAACTACAAAATGCCTGAGCCTACGTAATCTATAGTCTGTTCCTCCTAATCCTTAAAATCAACTCGTTTGAGGTCGCGGCCGGAGGCCACGAAGATCGTGACGTTGAAGGTCACGGAGCGTGGAGTCGGTTTAGGGTTTAGGTTTAGGGTTTAGGTTTAGGGTTTTCGTTTAGGATTCAGGTTTAGGGTTTAGGGTACGAATGCACACCAACTATCCTATTTGCAAGCAGGGCCTGGGTAGGGGAAGCAAAGATGAAGAGAGGTATCAGATTATCTGGGATCTATGACTTATGCTTGCTTTGGAGCTGCGGCTCAGGGCTCAAAGAACCGTATTGAGATCTAATTCTGAGGGTTTAGGTTGAGAGGAGAAAGGTTTTATTACAAAGAACATTTCTTTGAGCCTTCAGGTCTTTTCGGCTCCGACAGATCCCTGACAGCTAACTAAACCCTCAGCCCAAACACTACAAGCCCAAAGCCCTAATACCAACCTAGACCCTGAGACCTAATCTTTACGGAAATTGAACCCTTCCAAATCTTCCAAACCCCAATATTATTCTCAATATCTAGACAACCCGAAATTCAAGATGAACAAACCTAAAAGCCCTATGCTTAAAAACAGCATATACGCAAAAAGTTTAAAGTGCACCCACTCAGCTGCTAAGAGGGGTACCGGGTCAATCTTTTCGAAGACCTGTTCTTGGAACGTGTCCAGACCATGCAAAATCAATGCACAACAATCATTAATATAAGCGCACATTCATATTTGCGCGCCTCTCTGCAGATGCGTGTATGGATGCATGAGGGAATGTTTGCATGAATGCATGCACATTCGACGTGGACATCTGGGCATGGGCGCACGCACACACACACACACACACCCACTTGTGTCTGCATGCTTGCATACCTATGGGCCTATGGGTCTTCAATCGCGTATGGCAGCTTCTGCATTGTCTACGTTGATGGGCTTTTTCCGTCAGCCTTTCTCATGCTGTCTGAGCTACGCGCGCGGAGCCGCGGGAGCGCCCAAACCCAGAACTCCTCCCCCGGCCGGTGGAAGCCCTGCTCACGGAGGTGGTGACCCCAGGTCCTGACGGTAGCGAGGTCGATTGTATTGGGGATTGGGGCTATTAGCGCTCGGCCGTCGCTCTGGTGACCCTATGTCAACCACAGTCTTGTGTTGTTGTGGTGATTGGTCGAACGGTCGAACGCTTGTACAGGGAGCAGTGCTTTCGGAACCTGTGGCAACGTGTGTGGCCGTGACTATGACACGCTGAAACAGCTGCGTGAGGTGTTAACGATGTCTCTCAAGAGCAAGAACAGAATAGCACCGAGAACCACGCACGAGTTGCTATCCTGCGAATCTCTTGTTGCTATCTGCTATCGCCACAACCACGCCCAGGAAAAATGATGTGAGAAGAAAGACTCCGGCAGCCAGTTCAGTCAAGTGCTGCTTGAAATGCACTGCTTTCGCGCATCGCCAGCCCAAACGAACCCCACACCCCAGGCGAATGGTATCCACAATGCTTGAACACTGCCTTTCGATGACGTCGTTCACGCAGAGCATGGCCTCGAGGAAGTCAACCCGAAAGACGAGAGATCGCAAGAGAGAGAAGGAGGGAGAGACAGAGAGAAACCACGCCAAAGAATCGAAGACCGCACGCGTCTGCTTCAGGCTGCGGCCATGTCAACACGCATGCCGTCGCATCTTTCCGCCACGTCCATCAGCTGCTGCAACATGTGGTCCCTGCACGCTGTCGACCTGGGCAAACGATGGCGAAGAAGTTGAAAGGAGAACTGATCTTGGTCCGGTCATGTCTAGTTCCAACTAGATTCTTCGCGCTGCTGTCATTAGCATGATGGCGATTTTTTGGAGCACGGAGACTCATCTCCCCCAGGTACAGCATCTAAAGGGTCTTTCCACTTGGTGTGCGACCAGGCACCAGTAGTTCAACTGAGCCGTGTCGGTCCAGTCGCCCGAATACGGATCTTTGCCGAAGGCGACTTTCCCGTCACGGCCTGTACGTGCAGAGCTGAAACACCTGCAAGCAGCCATCTAACTGGACTTCTGCAAACGGCTGGGCAAGAATATATCCCAAGCGAACCAACAAATGAAGATCTCTTGGCCTCGAATGAACAGGTCTGGGATGTCGATCCAAGGGCTGTCTCTTGCCATGTGATTTGGCCTCACGGACTTCTTTAGTTCCTTGCTGCTGCATGCCATCTGTGGACGCCATCATCATGCTCGAACTGAAGGCAACGAATGCAATCAGTGTCGTGTCATTCCAGCTGGTGGCTGCTCTCTCATGGCAGTGTTCAACAACTGTTCGCTGGAGTTTTCGGTGCTGCCACTTTGCTGGCAATACTTTCGTGTGTTCATGTGGCTGAGGCATTTCCCGTCATGAAAATGCCACGTCATTCAGGTCGTCGCCCAGCAGTACCGGTGGTAGCAGCAGCAGTAGCAGCCGTAGGCTCTTCTGCAGTAGTAGCCAGTTGGGAGTAGTAAGAGTAGTAAGAGTAGTAATAGTCGAAGTAGTCGTAGTAGTAGTAGTAGTAGTAGTAGTAGTAGCAGCAGCAGCAGTACTAATAACAATAGTAATAGCCTGAGTAATCATAACGGAAACTCTATTTTTACTGCAATTGGACATAATGACTATAGCAGCAATAATAGTACTAATAACAACAGCCAGTTGGAAATATTAACAGTCAAATTACTTGTAGCAGTAGTAGTAGTAGTAGTAGTAGTAGTAGTAGTAGTAGTAGTAGTAGTAGTAGTAGTAGTGGTAGTGGTAGTGGTAGTGGTGGTAGTAGTAGTAGTAGTGGTAGTAGTAGTAGTAGTAGTAGCAGTAGCAGTAGCAGTAGTAGTAGTAGTAGTAGTAGTAGTAGTAGTAGTAGTAGTAGTAGTAGTAGTAGTAGTAGTGGTAGCAGTATTAGCAGCAGTGGTACTAGTAGTAGTAGCAGCACAAGTCGTCCCAGTAGTGGCCAATGTAGCGGTGGAGATCCTCTAGCATGACATTAGTCGATACTAGGTGCACTTCGTTGTAGAAAGCTTAGCAACGCTAGTGACGACAACGGTTGTACCATCCGCAGCACAAGTAGAAGCACCCAGAATATCGGGAATGCCGTACATTCTAAGTGCTTGCGGCAAGTATAGAAAAAGCGCCGAGGAGCACAAAGTCCAGCATGAGTGCCACGCCCTGCGAGGCCAAACGGGCCCGGAACTCTGCCAGATCCTCCTCGAAAAACAAGCTGCAAAGATGAAGTGAGATGAGACAGCTCAAAAAGATGCCCCCTTGCTGCTCTCAGATGCTGACTCAACGCTTCTGCTGTGCTCAGCGGCTCCTCTGTGCCCAGGTGAGGGTTACAGGTGTAGCGGCTGATGGCGTAAGGAGAACCGATACAATCAGCCTCAGAGAAGTCCTCAGCCATCGGAATGGACAGGTTGCAGGAAGCGGAATTCACAACCGCAATCAGACTGCCGCTGCTGTACCGATGAACGCGCTTGCCCACCAAGGTTGCTGACGTGACGTCGACGAAAGCACGAGGAGCACGCGAAGGATGAGAGGAACATACTCTGACAGGATGCTGGCATGACGATGGCCGAAGGTGCAATGCTGGACGTGCAAAAATAGCTGAGCTGTGGCCGAAGTGCGGGGAGGCAGTCTTGGAAGTGCTGCCGACGTGTGGGGTCGGAAAGGTCGTGCTGGCGTCCATAGGGGCCTGCAGTGGAAGGGTTCCTTTAAAGGGTTCAAGTCTCAGCAACCGGCAATCATCAGGAACTCTAGAGCTGCCCCCTCGATCCTCAGCCCCTGAAGCCCAAAGGCCCAAACCCACAGCTCGGCAATTCAACAGCAAGTGCGGGCCCCGGCCTAGCTCCCAGCAACCTCACAGGGCTCAGCCCACTGTCCCAAGCAAACAAGGCTTGCTTTTGATGCTCTTCATCGAATCGCACTGCTGTGGCCACATATGGAGTCGCTCCCGACTGGGATGTTGCATTTGCAGAGCTTCGGGCCTTGAAGCCAACACACATCCACGGATCCACCGAGCAAGGCCGTCGTGAGCTGCTCGTCTGTCACGTCCTTGAGTCTGCTGACCTCACAGTGCTCCGCTCACTTGCAGGGTCCAGGGCAAGGGAGAGAGAGAAACAGAGAGAGAGAGAACACATTGACATTGTCGCATACACACTTATATGGGCGCAAAACCAGCCAGACCGCAGTAGGCAAAGCAGCAAGGATGCAAACGCTTGAGGATTCACAACTCTCGCATCCACACCAATAACAGGGTAACAGCGAGGCGAGTGAATCCGGACGGTTTGCATGTGTATGTTTCGGTGTTCAGAGCGAAAAGTGCGCGAAACCGTGGTTTCTGCAATTTTTTAATTTTGCTCGGACGACGTGTTGGCAGGAGGAGCACGATCCTCGACAGGGGTCACTTGTGATGGGGCGTTTTGTGCGTTTTACAGTGGTTTTTATGGGCAGATTTTGAACCAAGCGTTTAGGGCAAACTCTAGGCGGATGACGACATCACACGAAAATTAGCATTGCGGAAGGAGGCCCTGTTGAGGAAGATATCTCTGCATAGTATTATCATGGTTGGGCCATGGATGCTCTGCGAGAACGGATGGGGTTGGGGTGGACGTTATCGTGGTTGGGCCATGGATGCTCTGTGGGAACGGATGGGGTCGGGGTGGACGTTATCATGGTTGGGCCATGGATGCTCTGCGAGAACGGATGGTGTCCGGGTGGACATTATCATGGTTCGGCCAAGCAAGCAACCTTCAACCTGTCACCAGCTCACAGGTGAGGTCCCGACGCAAAGTTTCCAGGAATCAAGCTAAAACCCGAGTTTTTAGCATGTCCGAAGCCTGAAACTAGCAAAATCTCAGGAGTCACTGGCGTCTCTGTTACCAAGAACAGTCAATGCATCGAGTGTGGCAGCAGTGCCTGAAGATCGTAGAGCCAGGGACGCGAGTTTAGCAGCAAGATGCTCGGGTGAGCTGGGATCGCCGTGTGCTCGGAGGCCATGAGGGAGGCAGGTATCTGTAGTGGATTGGTGTCCAAAGCATGTAGTAGAGATCGCAGGACCTTCTTCACAGTGTCCAGTGCATCATCTAAACAGATATTGCTAAGAGTGTACATGTATTGTGCAACATGTAGCTGGGTCTAGGCCTAAGCCTAGGCCTAGGCCACATGCAGGCCTTCAGAAAAACGCATTGAGGACACTAACACAAAGAGATGTCCTCAAGGGGTCTCAAGACCGCGTGTCGAGCCAGAGCGGCTACAAATGGCCGGCAACAACGACCTTTGGCTCAGGTGCCTACAATGCTTTCTGGCTTGACCCGACGCCCCAAGCACAAACACGGCTTCTTCGTACTTTCGCAACGATGCACTGGCACGCACCTTTTGCTCGCATCTCAGCCTTCAGGCAGCGCTGCCTTGGACCACCGAGAAGAGCATAATAACGATGAGACGACGGCAGCTGCAACCATTGGTAGCTACAGGAATGAAATCAAACTCCAATACACCACTGCTGTCGTGGCAGTAGTAGCCGTCGTTGTCGTCATCGTAGTCGCAGCTGTAGTCGCAGGCGCACGATCATTCAGCTGAGCATGGCACCATGAGACGCGTCAGCTGCTGTGCCAGCGCCTGACCGCCAGTGCACAGTACACGGGCATGTAGACCGATGAAGGTGAACGTGCAAGCGCAGAAGCAATTAGCAACATCGGAGTATTGGGGTGCTCCTCAAGGGAAGCTGAGATTCAAAACACTTGTGCCCTACCAAAAACTCATGCAAACCACGGTTATTGCTGAGACAACTGTACCCAGGACTTTTGACAGGATTACAACGACAAGACAACCAGGTCCAAGCTAACCGCGAATTTCCAAGTAGACTGTTGGTCTCCCCAGAGGTTTCAATGACCCTTTCGCAACAGGCTTCTCTCGCCCGGCACAATGACCCTGAACCCTGAACTCCGCAGCTGAACTTGCCTTTACGCGGCCGAAGATGGAAGAACGCACCTGCGAGCTTTGATTTGGGGCGAAAGCTTTCTTCCGTCAGGTGGCTAGTAGGATTCAGGCCTTCACGGCCCAAGCGGCATCAAGAAAAACAGTTAACCGGGCACCGCCCTTTGCTAGGCAAGATAGCCGCGAGAAGCAGCCAGATGATGAGTCTAGGCCTCGTAGAGTACGCGCGTATCCTGCATGCAAACCGCAAGCCCAAACCTTTGAGCCCACAACCCCGTGGATCCCTTCAACCAATGACCTGCCTTCTCGTCCACAGGCAGAAACCTGACCACGGTTCAAGTTCTAGCTGTCTTCCGGTCATACTCTTCGTGAAAGAAGCGCAAGACTACATGGCTCTACGGGCAACATAGGGTGTGACGCGATCATGCGAGCATTGACAAGGGGCCTCAACGTGGCTTAATGCTAGGATGGCGCTCATGGCGACTTCAACCAGCAGCACTGATGATGAACGTGGTGCCGGCTCTCACGGCGGTTCTTGTCCCGATGCTGATGCTGATGATAGACACGGTCGCGCCCACGATGGGGTCAACAACAAGAAGAGCCACAGAGTGGGTATGGCAAACAAAAGAAAGTCGTACATGGTCAGGTCAACAGGGATGTGTAGTAACATGAAATGCCGTGTTGCAAGCAATGGCGGTCCGGAACAGGCTACGTTGGTTTGCAAAAGCCTGTCCCTCCGCAGAACTATGTTCAAAGAACGCCTGATGGTGCAGAACACCTGAAACAAAGCACAACTGCACAGTCGTCTTCTGCCGGAGGCCGAAGCCTCTTTCTGTAAAAAGGGACTGGTTCAGGGCCAACTTTGTACAAGGAAGAGGCACAAGCTACCAATATGTCCAAATATCAAGGATCTTGGCCTGAGTGATTTGAATAAGGTTTGGGCTAGGACTTCAGCCTTAAACCTTTTGAGTCTTTAGAGACACGCCAAGGCCTCCCGAAGCGCTGCTCGAACTTGTCGGGATGCCACCTGTCACAAATCTATGTTCCTGTCAAGGACGGTTTGTTTGAGCAGCCAAGCAGGGATCTGCAACGAGTTCTACGCTTTCCTTATTGAGAGATTTACAAGAGTCCAACATCTTCTGTTGGTGGGACGGTTTTGGGATTTGAACAGGTTTCTGGGCCCTTTATCGTGCTGTGCATATTGCCGGCTTTGCGGAGGTTGACAGAGATGTATGTGGCTGCATCGGGCCCTGCAGCGGCCTACGGAAGTTACTCGGGAATCTACAAGGCTTCTTGGATTTCTGCAAGTCGTCCGTGGATGTTTTGGCTCCATGGCTTTGGTGGAGTGGATGCCAGCTGCCGAGGGTTTGAAATCTGAAGGACATCAAAATCTGAAACCTGGTCTGGGAATATTCGACACATGCAATGACAGTTCTTTCTGTGCTCTTTGGGCTTCTTTGATCTTGAGACTCCTGCTGGGCTTCACTCTCTTCTCCAATAACTAGGCCCAAACAAAGTTCAAACTTTTTAAGCTAGACCAAATATATGAAGCCAAAAAGTTTAAAGTTCTCCAATAGGCTAAGTAAGTTCAGGGGGTTCGATGGGTGCGCTGGGGTTTCTTGCAGGACCCAGCAGCCCCCGTAAGGGAAGCGTAAGTGTTCCTTAGCATTGAGCTGATCCGAACCGCCGGGTTTCCCGTTTCTCATGGTCTTACGCTTCTGGCGCCTCAGCAGGCCTGCTCGGAGTTGTGACCGAACCTTAGCGACTTGGCGTAGGGCTCAGATGCCAGCATCGGTCATGGATGTGAGAAGAACATGAGTTGCTTGGGCTGCTGTGAAGAGTGACGCTCAAGGTGGGTCTTCCACCTCGACCCTCCGCGCCACAGGCTGCGAGCCCCATGCCCCAGCAGGGCAAAGCAAACACGTACGCACGCCTCACAGAACCCGAGACTCACACAACAAGCATGGATGTATATCTAATCTAATCATCCATCCGAGCCCCGAAAGCTTCATGCGCCCAGCCCGCATCTCCCACACACCAACATTTGCGGCTGGTTCAAAGCATGCATTGCACAAGTCACGTCCAAAGTGTTCCCGTCGAGAAAGTGCGGGTTTCGAGGAGTCCATACATCCTTTCCCGGCTAGCGGCTAGTCGCTGAATCTGCAACCGACCTCACGGCAATGCCCATTGAAGCATCATGCGGTCATGGTCGAGCTTCATTTGCACCGCAACCCGTTGATTCCCAAAGTCTGCCCTATACCCCGACAAGCTTTCGCACTGGAACCAGACATGAAAGTCTAAACAAGGTAGGAAGAAAGAAAGCTGACACTGACAACAACAAGCAGCGCACAGAGTGACATCATTGAAAACTGTCATCAGGCAAGATTGTCTTGGATGCCGCCCCGCCGCCCCCTCACCACAACAAGAGTCCTTACAGGGGCCGGCACCACTTTCGGATGCCCGGAGGCATCGACATTGAGTGGATTTTCGGCCGTACCCGAGGGCCAGGGCAACTCTGCCTTCAGACCAGAAATGGAGCTGCAGGACTGGATTCCTTTAGAGCTCCTTCAAGCATTTTAGGTTCTGCTTCAGGCAGCTGAAGGAGTTGAAAAGGCCAGCTACGACAAGATGGTGGAGCCTTGATCACAAGTAAGACATGCAATACTAATTAGGCTCTACATGACACCCTTTTCATGTCGTGTCGGAGCAACCGCATGTGCTTGCAAATTCTCGCGAAGCCTCCTCTCACACTACAGCTGATACAACAAAGGGAATGGAAACAATGACATGATATCTACCTGTATGTAATGTACGCACGTGTGCATATGTGTTGGCTTACAGGCATGTCGGCACATTCATGGGAGAACCTCTCAATCCCTTTACTTCCTCGTAGTGTTGTTCCTCACAGACCGTTTTCTGCGAAATTTATCTACTTATGCGAAGCTTGAAGGCTGTCTTGCACGGTTCGTTTCGACTGAGCGGGTGTGGTCCAAGGCAGGGTCATTGCACACTTCCCGTGCATTCTTGTGGTGCTGGGGGATTCCCCCAGCACCACAAGAATGCACACATTTTTCATCTTTTGGTTTCGCTTACCTTCGAGCGTCGAGGCCCCCAAAAATTCACTTACTTTACCATGCCACCATGCTTTGTAATCGCAAAAAAGCCTACTCCAAGTATCTTGCTATCGTCTTCCCCACATCTGCTGGGAAGAAGTCGTCAAGCTTGCTGGTGGACACCAGCTGCTAGGCTGGGCTCAAACCAGAAATTTCGACAGCGATCACCCGAGACGCCGCAACAAAGGCAGGGCAAAGTTTCAGAGGCCACTGGAATGCTGTACATTGTAATGTCTGTTTGTTTACATCAATGTAAAAAAACATACATTACAATATACAGCCACCCGAAGCGCAGCTCGCGCCTCCCAAAGCCGAAGCGGAGCGTCGCTGTCGCTCACTGCAGCGACCTTGGCCTGCAACAAGGCATGTTTGTACGCATGTACAGAGAGAAGTGCATGTATATGTATGTATGTATATTTCTCTATATATAGATATGTAAACTATATATGTGTATGAATGTATGTATGCACGCATGCATACACGTGCGTATATCTGTATGTACATATACGTGTATGTATGTGTTTATACCTACGCAACGTATACACACACGCCCACATAGATGATGAAACGGAGCGGCATTGTCTCATGCAGAAGAGAAGTGTTTTACAGTCGCTAATAGCGAGCGTGAGAACCATGCGGTGTCGATGCTTCTTTCTGCCGAGGCCCGGGGATTCGGACTTCGGGGCTTGGACTGAAGGCGTGGCGCTTCAGAGCTTCGAGTACTTAAGACTTGAGTGGACCCTGGATCCTTGTCAACACAAGAGAAGCAACTAGAGAGGGCACCGGAACAGCTCAACCTGAACCTGAAGGCGACTGGCCTCCAGCTGCTTCCACTTCGCCTTCGGGCAGACACGGACTTGACCCAACAGGGCCCCGACGATCATAGACACTGCTGCACACAGAAGCCATTTCGCCTCATCTTGCCGTCGAGCCTCCAAACGTGCTTCAGCGGCTGCCTGTGCAAGAATGCCCATGACATCCGCAGTCTCAGCTGCAGGACTTTCCTCCGCCAAAATGTTCAGCGCGAACTTAGACTTTCACTGATGCCAGGAGCTATCAGTG